AGGAGATGGTAATATATTACTGTAGTAATAAATTATAAAATCCTTTTGTTAATAGATACAGTATATATTTCTTTTTTCATTTTACTCGCAAAGATGGATCCTATAAAACCTAGAGGTCGTCCGCCAAAAGCCGGAAGTAAAGGAGCATTCACAAAAGACAGTAGGTTTACTTTCACAGAAAAGCTTTAAAATCTATTAAATGTGGAACTTTATTAATCATTTTTATATAAAACTAAACAGAAATTATTTTAATACTTTAATTATTTAAGTACGACTTTTAATGTATGGGTTTGGCGACGAACCTAATCCAGCAGCCGATTCAGTAAACGTGATGGAGGAACTTGTTACTGATTATATTACTGAAATGGTATTTGTAATAGTTGAATTATCATTTTATCTTTCTGACTTTTTATTATTCAATACAAAAATTATTTTATCTGACTAAATTATTAAATTAACAAACTAGTGCCATAAAGCATCTGATGTTGCAAAAGATCGCAAAGTCACCGTCGAAGATTTCAAATTTATTTTACGGAATGATTCAAAAAAATTGGCTAGGGTTGAAGAATTATTGCATATGGAGCAAGAGATCAAGAAAGCTAGACAAAATTTCGATGTTAAAGATATTGATGAATAAAAAGCTATTATTCTTTGCGGTACATGGAATAGTAAACTGAGAAATTATCTATCACATATGACAAGCATTATATATTCTGTTTTTAACCTTATTTGGGATTAAATTCATCTGAACGGATGCAAAAATTCTGTTATGATAGATAATTACAAATGTTTGTAAATTTTAGCGAAAAAACTTTTTTAATTCATTCAGAGAATCAAAAATGTTTACAATCAATAAGTGTTTCAAGGATTAGGAAAGTTTTTCTAGAAAAGACATTCATGATTCGTTCCGTTTTCTTATTCATTACATTGAGAAAGTTTTACTTATTGACTTTGGGATTATGAAAGAGAGTTTTGTCACCATCACCCCATGGGAAAGGCTAATTAATAGTTATATATATAAAAAAAATTTTAATAATAAGAAATACAGATAAATGTATTTTGAAATAAAAGATTTAGAAAAAAAAAATACCTTGGTTCTGATACGTTGATATTGAAAATGTGGATGTTCTTCTTCATGTTCATGCTCTGCATGGTGAGCCTCGTGTTCCTTCATGATTCTGTATGAATTCGCTACGCCCAAGAAAAGGGCCGGTGTACAAACGTAAATAGTAATATTTTTCCAAGTTCTAGCAGTGCCTGTTAATAGAAGATCAAGATGGATCGAAGTAAAAATCAAAATTAGATCGAATACTGGTGATAGCATTTTTTTTTTTTTTTATATATATAAATTATGTAAAAGCAACTATTAGGTAGTATCCACATAAGCATGGATCTAAGAATGAATTACACAATATTTTACAAGCGTGTATATGTTCATCGTGCCGACATAGCTATATAAAACGAAAAGGTTGATATATAACCCTTTGCATGTTCCTCGATAGCAAGACGTTCTTTAGCAAACGGAGAAAGACTCTCCGAGGAAGCTAATACAGAGTATTTACGAATCACAGCAGGGATACGAGGCAAAACTTTAGCGATACGGGTTGCAAGAAATCGCTTTTCCATAGCGAGAATAGTTCGAGTTTTAACGTTACGAAAGTTCATAGAACTTATATACTAAGAAATCATATGACATATGATATAAATCTCAACCCTATTGGTTATCTAATAAAATGTGAATTACCAAAACTATTCAAAGTAACGATTTATGATAAATTTGGATTTTGAACCCGCAGAATTCCGAATTCACCTACAATATATATATGTTCTATATATATAGTTTCAGATGAATGAATTTAGAACACGATCAATTCTATTTTTATTTAAGAATCGACTAAGCGCGAATTTCCAAAAAAACTTTTTGAGCAGCCTGTAACACAGATCACATGAAACCTGATATTTTACTTATATCCGAAACCAACGGTTTAAAAAATCCAGCGACCCCAACGACGACTTCAACGCAAATTTCTGGGTCGTTTTGCACAATCTCCTGTGTGTTTATTGAAGCGTCTTTAACTAAGTATTATGTTTTTTTTAGAACTATATATTATATATACAAAATAATATGAAGATTGACTTTATTATACTCTGGGTAGGATGTTCGGAAGAGACGTCATAAAACTAGGTTTTCGTTTAAATATATAGCTTCCTTTTTTAATTTAAGGTTTTAAAGTATTTCTGTAAATATTTCTGTACAACACATTAAAAGGTTATCTTCGATCAAGAGATCAACACGGATCAGTCGGAAAGGCGGGCGTTTTCGGAACGCAATATTTGTGAACCGTAAATGATTTTATATCTTCGTTTAGAAATCGCCTGATGTCCAACAAATAACATAATATTTGTTAGGAATGATGCTGAAATTAATCGAGGTTAAAAAATAGAAGTTGATTGACCAATACACATATATATATTTCATCATAAAGTCGCAATGCCTCATCTAATTTATCTTCTGCCTCTAATTTCATTCCTTCTAATATCTTAACCCGAGGCGATCCAGGAAATCGTTTTTCAAGTTTTTCAAAGCATGTCTTTTATCGATTAAAAATGATGATTTAATCATTTTTTTGTTTATTTTTAGCAATAAAAAACAAATAATTCAATAATTCAATAACACATATTATACTCCTATTTTTTCTTTTTACCTTTGCTAATGCATCATTTCCATGATCCAGTGCAGAGATGAAAACTTGTTCATATACAGGCCAAACTATTTATTATTTAAACGTTATAAATATAGTTTTAAATACATAAAAATTTAATAATCTAGATTTATTACATACCCTCATCACCAAGTTTTCTAGTATAGTCTCGTAATAATCTTTCGCCTAGTGAAACAACTAAAGCCGATTTCCGTTCTCCACTTTTACGTAATTCATGAAGCGTCTCGATCGCTCTTAAATAATCAAACGGTGCCATAACTAATACAACTACTAACTGGTCAAACAAATGAATCGGAAACCAATCTCTGACGTTGGAAGGATATCCGTTGCTTTATTTGTAGAGGATTTTCAAAATTTATTTCGGTACAAAGCAGTACAAGTATAGATTACGATATCGGATCAATTGGAGTGACACAAAATGTAGATTAGAAAGTTGTGCAGGGAGTATTGATAAAAACAATTGATGTCGATGTTGGCTCATCATCTATTAAAGGCATGTTATCTATCATTTATTTATCAGATGAAATTTACGAACACTCTTATCATATGCTTGAAATCTATTTACCACACACACATACTCCAAAGAACAAGTAATACACTTTTTTTTTTTATAAAAACCTTTTATCATATGAATATACTCTCTTTTGAAATGACTGAAATTGAACAAGATCATGATTACGAATCTTTACCGGCAAATTCTTCTTTGACTGCTAATCTAATCGCTGGTGCCCTAGCTGGTATTGGTGAACATACAATTATGTATCCAGTAGATAGTATAAAGGTTAGTTGTAAATTTTGGTTTTATATTTTATAAAATATTTTTAATATATCTATTTTTTCGAAATTAATAGACTCGCATGCAAATTATAAATCCAACTCCACAAGCTGTCTACACAGGTGTTGCAAATGCATTTTCTCGTATTTATACAACAGAAGGCATTCGTACTTTATGGCGTG